CGTTCGCTTGAACAGCGATACGCCATCAAGTTTTGCGTGCGACTTGGAAAGAATGCAACCGAAACATTCCAGATGCTTCAAGAGGCCTTCAAGGACGACTGCATTTCAAGGTCACAGTCTGGGAGGTGGCACAAGGCGTTCAAGGAGGGCCGGGAGGAGGTCGCCGACGAATCCCGTTCTGGACGCCCAACAATGACCAGAACCGACGAAAACGTGAATCGTGTGTGCGAAGTTTTGCGTTCCGACCGTCGATTGAGCATCCAGTACATCGCTGACACTCTAAACTTGTCCACATTTGCGGTACATGGGATAGTGACGGAGAATCTGCAAATGCGCAAGGTCTGCGCGAAGCTTGTGCCGAAAGTGTTGACGGAAAACCAGAAAGAACTTCGAGTTTCGCACTGTCAAGAATTGTTGGATTTGATTCAAAATGAGCCGGACTTTCTTAACTCTGTCGTAACCGGAGACGAATCTTGGATGTTCGAGTACGATCCAGAATCGAAAAGGCAGAGCAGCGAGTGGCACTCCAAATCATCCCCCCGCCCCAAGAAAGCGCGAATGAGCAAGTCTCGCATCAAAACGATGCTCATTGTCTTTTTTGACGTCCGAGGAATCGTCCATTTTGAGTTTGTACCGCAGGGAAAAACTGTCAACTCAGCCTTCTACCTGGAGGTGCTCAAGAGATTGAAACGCCGGGTCGCGCACGTGAGGGCTGACATCAAAGACGCGATCAAGCTCCACCATGCCCCCAGTCACACGGCCTTCATCATTGCCAACTACCTGGCCCGGAGCAACATCCCGGTGATCCCCCAGCCCCCTTACAGTCCCGACTTGGCTCCGTGCGACTTTTTTTTGTTTCCCCGTCTGAAGAGAGAGCTGAAAGGAACGCATTGGGAAAACATCCAAAAGCATGTTACAACGTTCCTAAGAGACATTCCCGTCGAGGAGTTTCAGCGTGCCTTCCAGGCGTGGCAGACACGTCTCCGCAAGTGTATTGATTCAGGGGGAGAGTATTTTGAAGAATTTTGAGCATTTGTACCGCTACGATCAATAAATCTATTTTTCTCAGAAAATGCGCATTACTTTTATAATGGATCCTGTATGTCTGTCGTAACCCCTAGTGACTGTAGGCACGCAAATGAGTTTCTAATCTGTCATAAATTTGAGATAAAGACGTATGTTTATATGTACTTATTTTTGTCTCGCTCAATACTAATTTAAGCATCTCGCGTACGTAAATTTCGATGAGCAAATCTTCTCTGCCAAAACGACTCTTGAGACTCGTAATTACTTTGTCGTAGTTAACAGCAGTCGATGGAAAGCTCGCTCACTCTTATGCCTTCTGTTATTGTTTATTAAATATTGGAATTTATCTTCTTTCGTAATATTTGGATTTTCATGTATATTCTTGAATATACATCAAAAATTTTAACCAATCTTTGAGCTCTCCATTAAATTGTGGCAATTGTATTTTTGGCAGCTTTTATGCGCGCACATTGTCTCTGGAAGCTTGTATTGCTTGTTCGACATTCTGAGCATCTGATAGTTGAGAATGGCTAAAAGTAACATCTAGTAAAGCTTTCGCTTGATGATATCTTATCTTGTACTCATCAATTATCTCAATTTCCTGCGTAAGTTGTTCCTCAGTTGTTCCTCGCATCGGCATCAACCTCCAAAATTTTTTCCGATTGATTTCTTCGAGCTTTCTATATTTATCACTCACCATGTGAAGCGTACCTATAACTTTCGTGTTTCATGACTTTTTATTCTTCCCCATTCATCGTACTGTCAAATTTAAAACAGCTTTTTCCTACACCGCCACCAAATTTTACAACATATTACCATATTCCATTCGTTCTTCTGCCTCCTTGCTTTCTTTTCGTCCCACCACCGCCAAATTCATATTAGCGAACAATCAATAACTTAATTTCTATCAAAACTTTGTTTGCGAATTTCCAGTCAACATTATTAATTAAAGCAATTGTAACATCACGGTATTCTCTGTGATGCCTACTAAACTCTTGTCATTTACACACAATTTAACTGAATGATATCAACTGTTTTATGTTTTTTATCTCATGCTTTAGCAGTCAGAACTATTATATTCATTTACTTTCATATTTTCTAATATTTTATATGCTACTGTGTTCTGGGGAGGCGTAGTAGCAGCAGTTTGCTGATGCCTCACTATTTGTGTATCTAATGTGTCACACAAAACGTAATTCTTGTATTGTATTGCACAATAAATTGAAATTGAAATTGAAATTGAAATTTTTACGCGTAAACGTATCGATTCAATGTATTTTTATCAAAATTTGAGGTGATCTCTTTTTAACATTTACCGTTAATTTTCCTATTTTTTATATTTAATCGTTTCATAAGAAAATGTATAACATAGATTATAAAATCTTAATTAATACACAGAAAAGTACACACAAAAAAAGTACCCTGTGCTGGGGTAAAGACCCAGCTATTCTTATGTATTTTGAGTCACTGAATACGAATCTGACATCAAAATAGGATCATCCAGAGAAAATTTTCAATTTAGAGCGAAAAAATGAGTAAAAAAATGAGAAAAAATGGGTTATTTTTCGCTTTAGATTAAAAATTTTCTCTGGATGGTCCTGTTTGGATTATATGGATGGTTGCGCATACTTTGGCGTACTTTCTGTGTTTAATTAGATCCAAGTACGTGTCATTTTACATTTTTCACGTAAAAACGCGTAATTTTGTTATTATTTCTGTGCCCAACTATCAGACTGTAGAGTATAATTCCACGCAAAAAAGCGTAGAATAACATACTTTCTTGAAATACTACAAAAGAATAAAAATTAGTTTAGCGTAGTTCGGCATAGAAATGAGTAGTTCAGGAAGTGATTATTTGTTGCGTACTTTGACGTACTTTCTATGCTGAATTAGGTCTAAGTACGCTATTTTATCTTAGGTTGGTCGCGTAGTTATTTCTATGTTTAACAACGCGATTCTACGCCACAGTTGTAGAAGTAAAAAGGCATACTTTTTTGACGTACTTTGGCATAGAAATTTTTCTTCTAGGGTATATTGATTATTACGAAAAAATTTTTTTTAATAAAAAATAAGAAAACCTTTACAATGATAACAACTTTAATGCTATAGAGGCTTGAGTCTATAGGCAACAAATACCTAAGCAGAACGACAAATAATAATAACGTCAAAATGATATTAAAATGAATAAAAAATGATTAAAAAATGGCTTTTAATCTGAGCAACCTTAACCTGAATGTTAATATAATGACAGAGCAGTATAATGAACGAAAATATTTTATTAATTTATTTATTAGTTATGGAAAGAGTTTAAGTATCATAGTGGTATATCTTCTTCTTCTTTCGCGGCATTACAGTTCACGATGAACCAAAACCTAACTCTCATGAGGTTTTCATAATAATGAATTTTTTTTGGAATGAAGTTGTTAATCTAATATCCAATCTCTAGTCTAGGGAATCCATACATATCCATTGATATATGGAACTTACAATTTAATGCCGGATTCGAACGGCACTGATGATCAAAGATCTCTTAATCATCAGATGGAGTCATTTTTGGCTCCTTAAATTAAACGCATATGTGGGCGCAAGGATTAAACCCGAATCTACAGATCGCGAGTCAATCGCACCGAGCAGCAAGCCACTTGACGCCTCAGTGGTATATCTAGACTAATAATTAATTGGGGCTTTATGAATTAAATTTTCTCACATAATGATTATTTCTGATATTTCTAAGGCTCATTCAATACAAAAAAAATTGTTTAATAAGAATCGATTTGGGATCAAAAATAATCTTATTGATCATTTTCCTTTATTTTTAGATTTTGATATATTATTGTAAAATGTATCATTACAACGCGATGTAAGGATTAAAATTCTATTATAATGACGTGAAATAATATCTTCATACTTTAAGACGTCCTTAAAATAAACTTACATATAACTATCTCTTTCAATCTCTTAACATCATTAGTACAAACATGCCTAGTAAGGGAGACCGGGGCTAATAGACTCATTTTTCAGTTTCGAATTTTTACAAACAAAATTAAGAGACTTATCGAAAAAATGAATTCTATAGCAATTACTACATACATTTGACTATCTAATAATATTTTAATAATAAAGGGAAACTGATAACTAATACGAAAAAAATGCATTTTTCTAATGCATTCTATGTGATTCAACTAGCCTCGGGACCAGAATAATTTGACTAAAATTATTAAAATAAAGATTAACGTATTTTAAGCTACATCTTTGGCTACATATTAATAAAAATTTTATAAAAATATATAACAATGCTTCTTTTTGCAAAATTTGTTCATTTCATGCAAAAACACGTCGAATGAACTTAGTTTTCGAGATTGGACATGAGGGAACTAAACTTATAATATTTACCACTGAAGAAAATCTCTTTAAAGGAATAAAATTTTAATACTATAAGTAAGTACTATAAGAGTCGTCACTAAATGAGTCATACAGTTCCAGCTGTGGTTAGTCTACTATCCCCATCCGTTCATTTTTTAAAAACATTAACAATATACGATAACAAAGACACATAAACAAAAAAACCCTGTTGGACTTTATTAAATGAGAACTACACTTACTATCTAAGCAGAAATCACATATCTCAGACAATCATATAGGATTGTAAAACAAAAACTTTAAGAATAAAAATATTTACTTAGATGTACGATTTTTTAAAATTGTGCATAATTTTTATCATAGATGTGTTCGCAATAAGATGTTACAGCAGACTGAGCGGCTGCTGTGTGCTCAAATACATTTACGCATCTCGAATATCTTGTTTTTAATGTAGCCTTGATTATTCTACTTATCCCTACAGTCAATTGACCCTAGTCTCCCCTACTTAATATCAAAATAACATGCGCTTGCTATTTGAGAAAATGCAAGAAAATGTTATACGATGAAAATAAAATTCTCGAAAAGATAAGAAAAGATTTGTAGAAGAAGCTAACCTGACCAGGTTGCGAATGAAAATGAGCAAATGTATATTCCCTGTTGGAGGTATGCGGTGTAACGAGAATTCTGGTGGGGCTCTTTCGTCCAACGGGTTCGACAGAATTCTGGCAAGCAGAACCGACGAGTCCAACTGCCGCTGCGGTAGTCATCTGTTCCTGATTAGGCCCTAGCTCGGCTGGATCCGTAGGTGACGATGTTGGTGGCGAGTTAGCAGTTGTCACTGCTAACTCACCTGTTGATCTTATTATTGCTACTGGTCTGGCCATAGGAGCAGGTGGCGGCGGCGGTAACATCGAACTTGGATAATATTGCGGGAACTTTTGTATGCTGGTGCGTGATCCAGTTAGTTGAGTCTGAAAATAATTAATTACATATAGCACCTCATTCCTTTTGATATCATTCTTAATTAAGATTCTTTAATAAATCGAGTTATCATAGAAATGTCTAATTTTTTTATATAATGAAGTTGAAATATCGAAACTGACGTGTGCAAAATTCTACAGTAGATTAATGATAAAATAAGAGAAAGAAATGTTGAAAATGTAACCTTTCACGTATAACTTAGTAACGGATAAAGGTCGCAGATGCTTCTTTGACTAATTGCACATAAATCTTACCGTATACTTTGTTCAAAAACGAAATTATAATAGTTAAAAAAAATTACGATTTTAATTGTCACAAAAAAATAATAAGTCAATTCTGGAAAGATATTTATGTGTACAAATTTGCATATAAATTTAATCTCGAAAAATAAACATAATCTCATCTTGTTTTCATTCGATGAAGATGCACCTCTTGATTTACTATCGTATGTTCCATACTATTTTATTAAGACGCGCAGTTTTAATATTTTATCCAAATTATGCAGATATTTGTAATTTTGGGTAAGCCTTGGTGAGACAAACTTTTTTACTAAAGAACCACCTTAAGTATTATTCTCTAACGATATTATACATTCTTTAAGTTAAAGATAATATATTTTTAACAAAGATGTCAATTGCCGATAATTTTTTAATAGGTTGAAAAAACCTTTTAATTGAGAAAAATCTCAAAAACTGAAAGTAATCTAAATATTCAATGAAGCAAGTATATACAAACTTATACTTCAGCTCATTTCCGATAAAATTTATTTTAATAAATTCGAATTTAAAGTTTAATTACAAAAATATTTGAATTAGACCAATGAAAATAACGCCCTGTGCACAATAGAAGGAATAAGGAATTAGAAATAAAAAATAAATGATTTCAACTTATCAGAAACTATATATTCCGATGTATCCGATTTCTAATAGATTAAAATCATTTATTCTTTATTCTTAATTTCTTATTCTTTCTATTATGCGCAAGGCCTATTCCTTTTATTGTGCGCAGGATCTAAATCCAATTAAATATGAAAATTTTTATATTTGTTCAAAGCAGGATCACAGTGCTTAAAGTAGTTCGCGACAATACCATCCAAAAGTTTAATCCCGTCGCGGTGCTTGGCGGTGATACCATAGTATAAAGATATACAGTAGGGATAAGAAGCGTCACCTATAATCTTTTTCAGACGAGTTTTCAGGGTCTGGTCCACGTCTTTGGTGACCAAATACCATATCAATAGTATTAGAAACCAGCGCCTATATTCAACAAAAAAAAGAGAATAAACAATCTTTTGAGAATCTTTCATCAAATTAGTAATTAATCATATATATTCACGCACCGTCACGTTGCTTCATAAAATTAATTCTTGTAATCAGCTATTCAGGAGATACGGTAGTATTTTGTCGCTCAGCAAGCGCAGCCATATGTCATGGCGCAATTGCAGTAACGGAGAAACTGGGGGGGCTCTCTGTTTTGATCGGAATTGGTGTCACCAAAAACATGGCCGCTTATGATGCACAAACAAATATGCGGCTGAATGGAAAACGGGATCCCTACTGTATACTTTTATACTGTGTGTGTATAACAATATCTTACTCCCGCTAGAGAGAGAAAAAACCTATTGCCTGCGCGCTGTGAATGTGCAATGTAAAACTGTCATATATAAAAAAAAGATGCCAACAGATCACGTGACCAGCCTCTCTGTGTTTGGTTCTTAAATATACAGGGTGACTCCAACTTATGGCTCCACCCATCTTAAGCAGATAGAGCGGAGTAAACTGAGTGGGAAAAGTCCTCTACCATTTTGCAATGCTCGCAATAGAATTAACGAGATATTAACATTTAAAGCCGAATACGCGCGTCCGCCTGACCTACTATTGCTGAAGGTAATAGCTTCATTGAATATTTAGATTACTTTTAATTTTTGAGATTTTTTTCAATTAAAAGGTCTTTTTCCAACCTATTAAAAAATTATCGGCAATTGACACATCTCTGTTAAAAATATATTATCTTTAACCTAAATCTGCCATCAATAGCTTGGCGCGCAGACCGCGAGGAGCGGGGATGGCCTAGCAGGCGCGCCCTACTCCCCGCGCACCAAGCTATTGATGTCGAATTCGGCGTTTTAGAAATAATATCTCGATTGCGAAAATTAGGAAATAATCAAGAACTGAAAAAACTCAGTTCAGTTCGTTCTGAAACCTGCACATGTATATACAGAAAAATGTTATATAAATATTACTTGTTTCAAATAAATAATAAGAGTATATTAAAATTATATTATCAAGAAAATATTCTTTGTAATGATATATTCAATAGAAGAAGAATAAAAATTGCGTTCTCTCTTAGCATTAGAATGATATCTTTCTGCATTTTTTACACTACCACTCATGGAAATTCGGACATCCGCATAATCAGGAGACAGGAGGTAGTGTCTTCGGCCATGTTAAAAAAAAAGTAAAAGGCATAAAGACATTACAAGTCTCTTATTCCGAGCCACCAAAGTCCATTCTTTGGGGGTACAGAACTACTAAAATATAAAAAATTTTTTAATCGTAACATATCCTGAAAGGCGGGATCGCCACCAATAATTTGAGCCAAAAGAAATACAAATTGGTCAAGCCGTTCTGGACATACAAGCCGTCAAAAGCCCTATCTCTTTCTCTTTCGTCCTATCTCACTTTCGCCTGCTGAAAATATCCGATGGTCACTCAGGGTCGTGACCTTGACAATGTAAATCAAAGTCGTATTAATTTTTTTGTATAACTTCATAACGCGTTATAGGTGACTGCTACAACCTTCCGAAGGTCATTTGGTATGCTGATTTTCATAATATGTGGAAGGGTCATCGGAGATGAATAGTCCATTTTAATTTTAATAGCTTCTCAGTGGGCAACGGTCGCCTGTTGAAAGTGTCCGATGATCATTCAGGATCATGACTTTAACAATATGAGTCAGGATCATTAAAACTTTTTTGGATAGCTTTGTAATGCGTGATGGGGGACTGATACAATTTTCCGAAGATTGTTCGATGTGATGGTCTTCATAATGTGTGAGAGAGTCAAGGTTATCAGAAATGAATTGTCCTTCGATGGTCACTACCTAAGGGTCATTACCTTGACTATATATGTCACGGTCAGCGGAGTTGAATTTCCTATTTCATATTTATGTTAATAACTTCTTAACATGAAATGGGTGACTGCTTAACCTTCCGAAGATTGCAGGAAATGTAATGGAAAGACAAGTATCGTATGCCGCAGGTCTATGTTAATAAGTAATAATTTCAGATTGAAAAAAGATAAAATTAAGTAAAAGTTACCGAAATATAATGAAAAGGCTATCCAAAGTTTGCCTTAAATTATAATTATAAATTATAATTATAAAGAATACTAAAGCATATTAAAAATAATAAATGGCGTTTCGAGCCGATTAGGTCATTCTCAATGTTATAATTACAAAGTGACAAGTATATATATATATATATTTATTTATTTATTTATTTATTTATTTATTT